ATACATTTCCTCTCTTTAGCTATAGTTCAACAGGCTTTTTTAAAGATGCATCATCTAGAGAATAAGACTCAGAAGATTTCTTGCAGCAACTTTCCGAGGGAAATTCTCCATGCAAATGTAGGTTAGACAGCAGATTTTTGTGGATTTCTTTCAATCCTTGAGCCTCTTCCTACACGAGGACTCAAAAAAGTGTAGTTGTAGAGAGTAGAGAACGGATGTTATATCCAGTAAAATGTAGCAGCATGCTGACATGTACCAGACAGCATGAAATAAAATTCCAGATGCTGAGTCTACTTTTACACAGATTTTCGCATGACTCCTTCGAGTTTCTCATCATGAACGAGCAGCCGATGTGGTATTCAAGCAGCAAAAGATACCCTAAAAGCCGGACAATAGCCCGCGGATTATAGTCCGGTGCGGGCTATGGTCCCGTTGTATCGATCGATTATTACGATTCATGGCAGAGATTACTTTTTTTGACATCGTTTACGCTTGGACATTCCTAAACGTCGGTGGTTATGTAAAGCATTACTGAGAAATTTCTTTTTGTCGACAGTTCTCCTTTCTGGAAGAGCGCAACTGACGGGGCCTTTATCCATGTCCCCAAGACCTTTCAGAGGAATTCCGGAACGTTCTTTCTTGACAAAGTTACGGGGGATGGCCGCTTTTTCTTTTCTCGTTCTAGGATTACTGTACTCCAGATTCCCTGATTCACTCTAGCAAGCGCTACTTAGCCTTTCGTTGACCTGTTTCACAAAATTGTTACCTTTCTTCCGTACGAAGCGATTTATGTTTAAATGCTCCCCCCCTCCCGCTTTTTTAAAGAAGATCGCCTCCGTTTTGCGTAAAAAAAGGTGTATATAAAAGAAGCATTAGCTGTTCTCATCATTATCCGAAGAAGGGCAGAGAGGCGCTTGCATAAATGCTAGACAACCGGGTTTCTGGCTCACGACAGAAGCGATATGCGAGAAGATAATAATGTTTAGAAACTCTGTGGCCAACCTAGTAGAACTGAAATGCTGCTGTAACAAAAGTGCCCAAGGATGACAAGCTAGTTTATACTAATCAACTAACTACTAGCAAATAAAACTCAGCTACACTCAACTAGCAAAGATACGGACAAGTGTAGGCTTTTCATAGTGCTGGCTTGTTCCGTGGCAGCAGCCGAAATATTTTAGGTTCTTCTGAAAAAGCAACATACAACTCAATTAGATATCACAATGCGCGTCTTTTTTATGTGATAAGCGTGTGTTTTACCTTGCGTATTTCATTTTTCCATAGTGATCCAGTAATACTCATCTCCACACTGAGCCAAGAAGGAGAAGAATCACGATTAATGCTAAAAATTTTTTTGGCAATAAGCCTACTTTTATATTTCGTTAGCCCCAAATATCTCACTTACTGGCTATATTTGGTAGCTACTCGCTCAGCTACAAGAGAGAGGTTTCGGTTTTCCATATAGCCATGACAAGCGCTGCGATCGAGACTCTGATCGTGTTTCTGTAAAGAAAGCTTGAATGCCCACCAAAGGCGAAGGTAGTTTCAGAAAATACGACTGAGGGCTTGTTTCTAACTAACCGCGCGGAAACCAGGTTCGCTAAGAGCCTCAGTCAGCATCCTCTGTTGATCTGGAGCTAGACTCTCTCGATCGATGGCTCCATTCACGGCAACATTCAGAAGGCAAAGAGGCTAAACTGAGTGTTTTGCATGGAGCACGCTTAGCGTTAATATGTCACCCAACTCACCAAAAGCAGCTCGTAGAACATGGCGAAGCTATCACGAAGCTCTGACCATAGCAGTCTCGTGGCTATTTTATAGCAGTTGTGTAAGGCTCATATAGCCTTAGCCCGTGATAAGGAACCCGGCATGTTGATATGGGGTCTTGTACGCCTTCCTAGCATGAGGAAGAGCGGTTTTCTTTAATTATCACTACCCCTAGGGGAGCCAAAGGGGGGGGGAATGATTCCGCTGTTTATGGAAATTTAAATCGTAATCTTTTATTATAACAAATAAGGAAAAAAAAAGAAAAAGTAAACTTTGTAGACGAGGCGTCAAAGCGCCAGTGTGAAGTGCCATACAGCTCCGTTCGGATCGATGCTTTTATGCGGAAGATCCGAGCATTAGTGCAATTGTCCTTTCCCCAGTATGGATCTCCTCCTTTCAGTCGAATCTCACTTAGAAGCTCATTTTGCAATCATGAGCGCGTTCTTTTGTATTCCGGTGGTACAGTTGCCCTTTGGCTAATATTGATTTCCACTCAATCACATCCTGTTTTGGAAACCAAATATTCATCCAGGCAAACGCGATTCCACTCTGTTTCGCCCTTGCACTTCCCCTTCAGCTAATATACTTCCTGCTCTGCAGTTGCTGCTGTACAATACTTCTTGCTCTGCAGTTGCTGCTGTACATCTACCATCGGGGAAATGTTCCGTTCCGGAACTCGAGGATTTAGTGGGAGAGCGGGCAAAGTTAGCGGAGATTTGTAGACTGTGGAGGGGCTGTAGAAGGATCAAGGCTTCGAGGTGCTAGCAGATATCGATAGTTTCCGTCTCAGCTCTGCTATATGACATGAGTGCAGGAAGGCGGTTGTAGGAGCGGTCTTGTGTGGCAGTGTAGACGCGTTTAACTGCCGGCCGAAATCTAACGATCCGGAGGAGCTGGTGACATAGTGCGTTTCAAAAGAAAAGAAAAGAAACACAACAACACAACACATTACGAAATGGTTTGAGCACTCAGAGAAGAGAGGAAAAGAAAAAAAAGGTACAGTAAGAAATTTATTGGGTTGTGCTTAGGGGACATCAAGGTGAAACAAGCCTTAATTGCGCAGGAGCACGCGCTCTCATCGCTGCCATTTTCATTCAACTATTACAAAATTAATTTAAAAAACCGTGATCTTGGCAGAATTTTACGATGAAAGCAGTTTTAGACATATTTTTATGTAATTTTCCACGTTTTTTCCACCCTCTTTTGAGCTCCCGAACGTACAACGATTTCTTTAAAAAATTTTCCACGGCAACTGCATAAGAATTTCTTCGTCTACG